TATATATATATATATATATATATATATATATATATATATATACATATATATACGAATTATTACATTTTTTGGAAATGTTGGGTAAAAGTTGAAGATGCATATTCGATATTTTCGAAATAAAAGATATCGGACAAAAAATTTCTGAGCTAGCCAATAAACAGAATTACACACGGATACAATTACACATTTGTGTGTCAATTTTAATCTTATCTTTCACAAGAAACTTGAGTTTCCAACTAATATTAGAATATATATACGATTCGTTACATAATCCCGCGAATACCAGCGTTCGAAATGAGAGAAATACATCAATGAAATACAAAGATCGGTCGATTTTCGTCCTTCGATGAGAATGGAAATCGCTCTAATCGAACGAAGTTTATCGAGGAGTTAAATGCAAAGGTACAGAGGTGATCGAGCAACAATTCATTCGAAAATTAAATTAGTTTCTCATTTTTATACTCGAATTTTTTTTTTTTCTCTTTTCTTTTTCCATCGATCGTATAATAAATCGTATAATACATAAATCATTCGTATATCCTTTCTTATACCAATCAAAATAATTACTTTTAATCGTAAAATTCTTTTCTTCTTTCTTTCTTTCCCTCTCCCTCCCTCCCCCCTCCCTCTTCTTTTTTCGTTATATCGAGTAACCAAGAAAGTTTTGCAATTTTTCTCAAAAGAAAAATTCGCAAATAATTATTTTTACTCTGCGCTTCGCATGGTATGCGCAGAGATGTATAATTCTAACTGTTAATCCACCACTGTTATCCAATTTTAAGTCGCAGAAATCGTTTACAATCGTTCGTAAAACAACGGATACTTTTCTAAATCGTAAAAAATAACGATAAAAAAACTTCCTTGGTTACCTAACGTGCAACATCGAACAGAGGGGGGGGAAGGAGAGAAAAGGAATGAGAAGAGACGAAAATGAAAAATCGAGAAGGTGGTTAATCGAGGAATATTTTTTGAAACGAATTGAAAAGGTGGGCGAGGAGAGCGACAGCAGCGGGAGCGAAAGAAGCCCTAAACAGGCTAAAAGAAGGAATCGTGGCGGCCCACCGACGACCAGGAGGCGAAAAAGCGGGATATCTGCGCGGGAAAGGAACCTGAGGAGGCTCGAGAGCAACGAGAGAGAAAGAATGAGAATGCATTCCCTAAATGACGCTTTCGAGGTAATTGTAAATCACGCGTTACAAAATACCTGGCGATTCACGGTTACCAACTTTCGAACGACACGCTTAAATCCCCTGCTCAACGAGTGAATGAACAAAAGAACGATGCAATTCTCGGCGAAACATTTATTTGTTTATCGTCGATTTTGAAAATTGATTCGAACCTCATCTTACATGTTATACGAGGCACAGTTTTCCACGCGTTACAAAATAACAACCGTGATTCACGACCAACTTTCCAACCGACGACACACTTGCCGTTCTAGGCCAGGTTGGAAAACTCGGTTATTCAAAAATTGAAAAATCTGGAGTGGAAATTTCATTTTCGAGATAATCCCATCCCATCCGTTTAATTTAATTTTTTTTATTCCTTCGTTCACGCAAATATTATTTCGTCCATCGATATTTTCGAGCTTGGTAAAATCGTCAATTTCTGTTTGAAATATTATATTATCGAATTATATTATATATTTTATCGTAACTTTAATCTCTTGCACATTCAGCCATTGCAACTTTGCTTCCCTTTTTCTTATATTACATTATATTTTATCCCTCTAGAATTTTTTTAATTCCTTTTGCAATCGTTCAAAAATAAATAATTCGATTTACTTTATTTCCTGTAATTTTAAGATTAAAAGAGATTAAGAAAAACTGATCATTCGATCCTTATGCATAAAGATTCCATTCGCCCTTTTTTAAAAATTCCATGTATCCAGTCCGGATCTTTTACTCGTCTGCTCCACTCGTGTATGCATTAATCGTTGTTTTTAAAAAGACATTCAGAATCTCTCAATTTCTACGATAACACGGAGAATTTTCATTTTTCAACCGAAACCGAATTCCGAACGCGGTGAAAGATTATAGGATCGCTGGCTGGCCGGCCACGATCTCGTTGTATCACGTGGCGAGACGCTTTTTCCGCAACAATACTCGGCAACGATAGAAGCGCAATATCTCGTGGATGCGGTAAATGCCGGATCGGAAGACGAGCGTGGGCGAGCCGTGCGCTCGTTCAGGCGGTTATTTAAAGGGTGGGAGGGGGTGTGAAACAAGGGAATTGAGAGTTGGAAAAATTCGTATGGCAGCTAAGCTTGTTCGACCGTTTTATGCAAAAGTCATCCTTTTCGAGGATAAAGAAGTACGTAGAAACTGAAAGTTTCAAGAGAACTTCCTTTTCTCGAAATTGAAATTTTCGCTTTGAAGATCGAAACTTGGCGAGCCAAGTGAGTGAAACTTGGTATATTAAAAATAATTTGACTTTTTTTTAGTACTCTCGAGAGGTGAAAAGTTTTTGTTTTCACGAGGAAACTTTTTATCATGAATAGACGCGAAACGAAGCTTTCAGCATCCGTATATTTCCACGATACACCTAAATGTTTACCCAACATTTTGTTGGAACACTTTGCTT